AAAACTGTATCTTACTTAACAAACCATCAGCATCACTATAAAACCTCTATTAAATTGTCATAGCTGACAAACTGCTTAAAATATAAGTAGTCCTTATAAATTAGTGTTATACACCACTGACAAATAATGAATAATTTTAAGTTCCTTCATATATGGATATGTTAAGGTACCTCTATTCTAGTTTATTCAAACATTCTTTCTACCCTAAAAACAACCATTTCAATTAGACAGGGACAGTGACAGTACAACTGTATTTTAGGGATAATTAAGAATTTCTCCTGAAAGTGAATGTTATTTAACTTTGATAATGCACTTAAACAAATAAGACACAAATCACTGAAAAAAGATAAAAATTACAATGAATCTCTTCCTGCAACTTCTGCACAATGATTTACCTATCAAGGGTGTTAGATATAAATAATTAGGCTTGTAAATTTAAAATAGTCAAAATCTTTACAGAATGCTTTTTAAGAGGTAGTTAAAAGAGAGCCAATCATACATAGCAGAAGCCGTTATTAATCTGTCTTCTAAAATAATACATACTACTAATTAGGTTAAAGTTTTTCACCCTGTAATAATTGACCAAATACTAGAAAACTGTTAATATATGTTCTGATTTTTTTTAGACATTTACTAAGCTAAATTTTTAGACGTTTATAAGCCAGTATATAACTATAGAGAGGACAATTATACGATGTTAAATATTTGTGTCCAACCAGTTTAAGTTTTGACAACTTCGAAAATCACAAATCATAAACTCTCTAAATTAGGAAGAACTTTGTGGATTTACATCTGTATTTACAATATAAGCTCAAATGCTGTCTCTCTTCCCCCATTTAACTCATTAAGGCTGTGTCTACAGATATCTGGATTGAAAGTGATAAACTGAACCTGGATTTTTTTTCTCCCAGACACTCAGGTAAACCATGTTTTTCATCTTACTGTTTTCTAACCTGAAAAATACTGGTTAAGTCCGTAGGGGAAAAACTGTATGTATTTTCATCCTATTCAAATTAAGCTGCTTTTCCATAATATTCTCAAATCAAAGTTAGAAAGACATTCTATACCTTATATTTATCTCAAACCACCACCAATGACACCAATATAAAACTACCTGAACTTCACCCTTATATTAAACTCTGATTCCCATTAAATTTTAACATTTTATATAACTTCAGCCGTTAATAGATTCACATTCCAGGATTATCTATTTAATATCCCATAATATAGAAACACCAAATTTCAGTTTAAAAAATTAAAAAAAATATATATACACACACACATATATACCTTAATATTCAAACATTATTAAAAACATCTGAGATTTGTTTTAAAAGATTTTACATTGTTTAAAATTAAAAGCAGTTCTATGATCATGATGATAATTACACTTCACTCTTAAGACTAAATTACACTTTTCTCATGAAAACAGACCTTTAGGATTTTCTATATCTTAAATATATAAAGTAAACATTTTTAGGTGAAAAAAAATTTTTAAATTGTAGAAAACTTTATAAACCTCACTTTAGCAAATGGATTTAAAAAAATGTATTATGGTTAATACTTTACCACGAGATTAATACTTTACTATAAAAGAATTAGCCAAGTAAAATTTAGTAATACTGTTCAATAAATTCATTTTCACAATACCAGATCACCATTTAGAAAACAAAAATTGTGTTGTTAAATACCATGTGACATTTTCAACTAAAACTGTAAAAATCAAAAAAGATAAATATGCCAGAAAAGTGGCTCTGTGATAAAGTATTTTGGAGGTTAAGACAACAAAAGTCACTGAAGTTTAGGCATTCTATAATTTTATTTTTAGAATTTGCAACTTTTGATATGAACAACTTAAATATTTTACTCACAGTACCTATGAGTAACATACTAGTAGTTTCTGTTTAAGAAAGTGGGTTTTTCAGTTTCAACCACATTGCCACTTTTGGTTAGGATAGTACTTGGAATATTTTACATTGTCTTAAAATAGTCTCATTAATCTTATTGAATTTTGCAGGCTCTACCTACTACTCTCACTGTCAAATAGCCAAATACCAAATTCCATTTGATTTAAAACCTCCATTTTATAAGATGAAAAGTCCACTATTAAATTCTTTTATTTATTACACTGTAATAGCAACCTTAAGGAATTAAAAGAAAAAATACTATATGTATTTATTTTTGGAATAAATAAATTCAGTTGGAGTTGAACCTAATACTAGACAATGAGAACATTAACTGTATAAAATAAAATTTGGAGTTTTAATAAGCAATACAACTCAGCTTTGGCCACTTGACAGGATGATTTCTGTTAATTATTTATTGATTTTAGTTTGTCTAAAAGTTTCAGCTTTACCAATTGTCTAGTCCAATTATATTGCAAAGATATAAAATTACATGCTTTTAAAATTCATTAGTATACCTTAATCTCCTATCATGTTCCAGCATATGTGAGTATTCAATCAAAGAAGTTAGGTTGTTCTCCAGAATCGGCTCTCTCCTAAAGGTCAAAACCTGCAATAAAAATGTCATGTATTATAGCATGAAGACACTCAACAGATTTTCATCTCTTGTAGTTTCATAGTTGATCCCGGAACATAGAGGTAAGGTCTTCAAAATGACCCCAATCTTGCCAGTGTTCAAAGAAGCCCTAACTTGAAAATAATGTTTTAAAAATAGAAATAACTTGATTAGAAACACCTGTGATATGCTTTATCATCTGAAGCCTCTTCAAACAAATCATATTACTATGTTTCTGCTTTCATTTCTCTTTAGGGCATTCATTTTCAAAGGAGTATGGATAAGTGTGTATGCAGGTAGCCAGCTGTTAGAGGACTGGTAGAAGGGGACTTCATAAGGAAAATATCAGAAGTATAGTTTGTGCTTCTAAAACTCATAAAACACATACAGTTGAAGATTACCGGAGGTATAAGGACAAAATTTAACTATCTTTCTCCTCAAGTTATCAAACATTTTAATAATGACAGAAATTATTATTATTTTCAACTTTAGTCTTTTTGCCAAGTCTGAGTGAATAATATCAACATTTCCAAATATTTCAATACATTACAGTTCTAACAGATCAAAATGTGGAACTTATTTTTTGAATAAATTAAAATACTTACAAGTAATAAATGGAACACTACTGGACCAAATGGTTTTTTCATGTTTCCAAGTAGAGGTAGGATATAACTGAATGTATATAAGTGGCTTTTTCATTTGTTTCACCTTTCTGAATCTTAATGATTTAATGTAGGAATCAACTATATAAAAATATTAAATTATCAAAGGCTTATAATGTACTACATATGCATCATAATGATCTGCCCACTTTTATTTAAGAATGACTTAGGAAAATTAAAGATGAAAACAAACAAAAAAAAACCTTTATTCTTCTGCCACCAAATATTTGATTGTTTAATAACAAAAACCACACGGTCATACATAACTCATAATTACCAATCCAAATACCAAAACATTTTAAAAAATTAAAATAATTTCTATATAGTCTTCCTCAAAAGATACAGTTTTCTACATTTGAGCACTCTGAAAGTTAAGGTATCTTAAGTCTAGAAATCATAGAAGGAAAATAGTAAAAAACTTAACATGCCAAATGTTAACTTTTTAAATAGTAGGGAGACAAAAATACTAGATTATAAGAAGCAAAAGTGGTTTGGACATAAATACAGTAAATATTAAACCAATGTACGTGACAAAAAATGATGTCATTAAAAAACCTTCAAATAGTAAAACTCAAATCTAAAATCTAAAATCTATACTTAGAAACCACCATAAGTCTTTCAGTGCAAACATTCTTTAGTGAAATAAGGCAGGATTAAACAAAAGTATAGTAAACTTCTCATAATTTTAAATAACTATTAAGAATAAAATTCAAATATATATATTTAATATCAATTCCAGTATTTGAAACTTGTCTTTCTAAAAGGAAGATCCTTTAAAGGATCTGTAATATAGACCAAAATAACAACAAAAAAACCCCAAAACTCCAGGCCAAAAAAAAAAAAAAATCAGTTCCCTAACAGAAAACAATATTTATATGAAGGATCTTCAGTCATTTGTACATGTAAATAATCAGATAAATATATAAACACATATTAGTAATGTGATATTCTAAAATCGATATTGTTACTCTTATTAAGACAATCACGACTTTAAAGTTCTAATACTGTCACTTCTAAAAATTAAATGCTTAATCTCATTTTCAATGTTTATTTGAAATAAAGTGGTACTTTATTACTTATTTCCTTTGGTCTTACAAGATTTGGGGCTGCAAAATTTTAGCAAGTCATAGTTTGAGTTCTAATTATGTGCCAGAATTAGTTGCCTGGCACACAATTTTCTAAGTGTGCTGAATTGGAAAAAAAAAGAAACAAAAAACCCACAAAACTACATGTACACTCTAATATGACAATTCTTTCTAAGATGTGTTTTCTGGTTATAATCAGACCAATTATTTGTTTCTTCTAAAAAGGGGTTAAAAAGAAATCAATGGGATTATTAAGCTTCATTAGACAAAAGAAAAAAAAAAGAGAAGAACCAATTTTAGGCAAGTAATATTTCAAAGTAAGAGAGACAAATTTTTATAAGATAATTTTTAAAAACTGTACAAATTTATACTCTACTTGATTTTTTAATTGAAGAAAGCTAACGTATCATGTAGAAAAAATATCTAATATAGTCTCTAGGAATTTTTTTTCATTTTGTAAGCCAAATCAACTAACCAATATTTCTGGATTGAAGTATTTCCTGACATTCTGAATAGTTACTACGTACCAATAAATAAACAAACAAAAATATACACGTCTGCACAAAACAAAAATGTAGTACACAAATCATGATGAAACAAGGGACCCAGAATATGGAAGCTACTTTGAAATTTTCATCCTTAGCTGTAGTTCATGATAAACATTAAAACTGGTATTAAATCTGATTACAAAAATAATGCACTGTTATATACAAACACCTGAGGCTACATTTTGTAAATGTACAACTAACGCAAGTTAACAACATTAAAAAAAAAAGTCTATAATTGCACTTTTCACTTGGATTTTTAAAAATAGTATGAAGGGCAAACAAAATGAAAATCAATGCTACCAGGAAGACTGATACCTTCTTGCATTCCCTCTCCCCACAGTATATAAATATAGCTTCAAAAAGAGGTGAGCTACTGTAGCCACATTATACCCCCCCATTGTTTTCCTGTGATAATAAATGACTTTTCTAGTCTTTACAATATAAAATAAGTTAGAACTGTCAGTTTTTACAGAAAAATATGGATACGTGCATATAAACATTAAAAAAATATATATCTGTTGGAATTTATATGATGACAAAATTAAAATCTTCCTCTTATGTAGCATCACACAAAAGGGAAAATATTTTTAATACTGTGGATTTTATTTAGGTGCTAGTGTGTTCTCAAGCTTTAAGCAAAATGTTTTAAATATAGAAATCCTTGTTTTAAAAATGGCTTATTAAACAAAAACGATCCTTTACTCATCAATCCCAAAATACACAAAAAATCCTATAAACCAAAGTGCTGAAAAAGTATGGTGAAACTTAACCAGACTGGTAGAATTTAAAGCCTGGGCCCCTACTCCCCCCAAAATTCTCCGAGTCACATAATTTGAATGAAAATTAAAATACAAAACCAAAAACAAAAATCAACAGTAAAAAGCAAAACCCACTAGTTCTGGTACTTTAGGTATAATTACATTTAAAATAGGAATGAGATCTACAATTTCATTAAATCAAATTTTATAGAGAGGATAATTACACCTTTTATGAAATTTTCATGAGCTGGTCCAAAATACACAGCTTTGAAAAAAGGAAATGAACGTGGGTTGTGTGATCACAATTCATGTTATGAAGGCAATACAAAATAGTATGAATTATAAACTCAGCTATTCCACTATTTAATATAAATTATATTTACAGCCCTACAAAGACTTGTAAAAGTCATTAAGATTTTTCACTTGAAAATTTTCTAACAATGTGTTTTGGACTTAATGTGAAAATACAAACTATAAGTTTCAAAATTTCAACTACATTCAAAAAACGATATAAATTTCTATTAAATGAAACTATCCTTCTTAAAACATATAAAGCTATCTGTTTATCAGTGCGTTTATGGCTTTTCTTTGAAAACCACACCCGCCTTTTATCAAGATGCAATTAATGGAATGACAAGCTTGGTAATAAAGAGAAATATATTGACGGCTGTCTTAAGCAACATTAAACAAAACCAACTAAAAACCAAATAAAACACAACACACCCACACTGTTGTATACGATATATTTCTTCATAATGAATTTATCAAACGAATGAAACCATATATACGCACCTGCGCTTACTTACCTGTTGTACTGTCTAAATTAAGAAATATAAATGTCTTGTATAATAAAGTTTTAAGTTCACTGCAATGACTGAATCAGCAAAATCTATATATTTTAAATTAGATGTGAAAAGTTTAAAAAACACATTAAATTTTTATGGAAAATATGGAAAAGATCATTTGTTCACATTAAGAAAATTAATGTTTCTTTTTATCAAAATAAAATAAACAATTCTCCCGTAATCTGCATCCAACAAATATATGTAGTTTAAGACAAAAAAATTCCTATCAAAAGAAAAAGCTCCTTCAATCAGTTTTTAACCAATAAAGAACAGGGTCAAATATATAAAAGTCTTGTAATTTCAGCCAGCAGAAATAGAATTTTGCAAAAACAGCCTCTTCAGTTTTGCTTTTAATATACATTTCAGAACCACCTGAAAGTCCTTTATGGGAGAAAAAAACTATTAAAACACCAACTTTTTTTTAAACTCCCGTCTTAACGTTTCATAATTATTTCCGTGGTTCTCTGACTAAAAGTATAATTTTTCGGAAAGTAGAGAATTATAATCTAGCGTTCAACATTCAAACCCCCCAGTCCCGCTTTCTTCCAGCCAATCAGGGGGTAACAAGTCCAGTGTTTTGGAAGCTCCGTTAGACACAATTTGAAAAACATCACATTGCGCTCTCCTCCTCCCAGAAAGATTCTAAGTGAGGGCGGGTCCCTCAGTCTTCATAGAAATATAAGAAATCAATCAATCCTTATATCAATTGTAGGAGGAAAAACAATGTAGGCAGGCAGTCCTTAAAAAGGGTGTCACTGCGATTCCCAGGAAGCGTTATTCCTCTTTGCGAACAATTGAACAGCTGCTGCAAAAAGCATCTCCAGAATATTTGCAACCCAGAGCAGTGCGCTCCACACGCAAAACATCACACCAGCAAAGGGTTAATCTAGTGGTGCCTTCAGCGCGGAAAAGGACTTAAGATCTAGTATGCCTTTAATGCGGATTTTTTTTTACAAAGGCCACAAAGTATTACCTAAAGTTAAAGCAGTTACTGGCTCACATCATTGAAGAGCTGTCGAGCAAGAACGGATAGAACTACTAGTTAAGAAAAAAAAATCACTAAAGGGAAAGACAATTAGCAACCCCTCTCGCCTCTGCCTCAGCGTCGAGAGTTCCCAAGAAAAGGTGACTGCAAATTACCGTTACTTTGTTTGGGTATAGACTTTTCAGGAGGAAAACATCAATAGTTTCACTGATTGCTTTTTTTCCTTGCGACATGTTTCAAAGACTGGAGAAGGAAAGTCTTCTAAGAAAAGTGCGACTCGGAGGAAACAGCCAGGAGAAGGAAATCGCTAGCTCGAAGCCCCATCTTTCATCTCTCTCAAGAACACCCCTCCCCCTTGAGAAAGGGCAACGCTGAAAAAGCAAATGACAAAAATCCCCAGTAAGAAGTGAAAGTCCAGCATCTTTCCTAAGAGCCCCTTACAGCCTCAAAAGCCTGCCCCTGCCCCATCTTGGAAGCGTCAGACGCGGTCAATACGACCCTACCTAAAAAGACCTCACTGGGACCGAGGCGCGCAGGCGGGAGGGCGGCGAGGGCTTGGGAACCTCTCATTCCTAGGACACCTCACGCTTTAGCGTCAAAAGACGACAATACAGACGGCTGGGTGCCGGGCGAGGGGTACACTGTCTGCCACAACCGACCGGAGGGACTCATTACTCCAGGTTCCGAATTTTCCGTCGACCTTAAGTTTCTTGTCATGCGAAGACGGCCATCAGCCGGCCGGGAAAACTGCGAAAAAGGGCGGCTCGGCTCGGATATGGGAGAGGAGCGCGCGCCCCCTCCTCCTGTCAAGATCCGCGGCCTGCGGAGACCCGGCAGCGCGCTGTCCCCGGCCCCGGGCAGGGGGTCTTGCTGACAGATCCGCTGGGCGGCGGCTGCTCCGCCGCAGCCGGTCCGCGTCCCGCTCAAACTACAGCTCCCCTCCCCCCACAGCCCTGTCTCCCAGCGCTCCCGCCACATTCCTCCCACCGGTGCCCACTCGCAGACGCCCAACTTACCCCTAACCCTATTTCCTGGGATTTTTCGCGACTAAAGTGAGGGCAGACCCAGCGCCCACTCCCTGCACCCCCACCGCCTGCGGGTCCCACCACTGCCACCTCCCGAGTCCCGCTCTGCTACTTCTTCAGGGTCTTACCGGCTGCGCCAACCTTGGCGAAGCACCGCCGACTGCCCTTTGCTCCAAGCGATTTTTGGCGAATTTTTTAGTGATTTTTTCTGGTGGAGTCCTAGTGGCACTGTACTCTCGGACAGGTTATCCCGTCTCTCCCGCTAGATTGATGAGATCAGGCATCACTCGAAAATGGCGCCGAAAGCGCTGAGGCTCCTCATTCAAATTCGTTAGAGCCAACCCCGCCGCCCCAGGGCATGCCGGGAACGCGGGCTGCCTCCGCAGCTGTCAATACCGCCTCTTAACCTCCCTTCTCCTGCTTGCCTGACACTTTTGCGCAGGCGCAAACGCCAATTCCTTCCCCACCCCTCGGCCCATGCCTTGCAAATGCGCAGAATCACCGCTGTTCGCGGCTCTCCCTTCGCCTCTTCGGTCTCAGTCCGCTTTCCTTTTTACTTGCGCGTGCGTGTAGCGCCTTTGCACAGCCGCGGAGATGGATTGACCGTACAGATTGTGGGCCCGAGGGTGCACAGATACCTGTCAGTCGACAGGCATTTAGTATACTTTTGGAGGTAAACAAATAAGGGCAAACAAATAAGGGCCCCGCTGAGGCGAAAAGGAAAACGTCTTACAGCCAGTGTCTTAAATTCCCAACAACGGAATGTGTCTGTGAGACACGTGTACTTAAAACAGCCCCGCCAGCGCGTAAAGCTATTGCCGTTCGCCAACGCTTTACAGGAGCTTTCGCTCTTAAGCCCGAGAACAACTTTACGAGGTAGGAACGACCGTTATTCTCAGTTTGAAGACCAGGAAACCAAGGCTCAGAGACGTTAAGTAATTTGCCTAAGGCAGTACAAGTAGCAAGGCAGTGGACTAGTCCACATCTGTCAGTTTCTGCAGCCTGGGCCATTTTCTTCCACGCTCTACGATCCAACCTGAGCACACACAGGAGGCGTGGTTTCTTTTCCTCCTTTCTCGTCAAGTGTTTTTGTGTGTGTGTGTGTGTGTGTGTGTGTGTGTGTGTGTGTGCGCGCGCGCGCGCGCGCCTGCCTTAGAGTTAATGATTACTTAAGTTTGCTGGAGCACTCCTTCCCTGTCCTTGGCTGCCTTTTGCGAAGGCGCTTTCATCAAATGCAGTTTCTCTTACCGTCTTATCTTTAAACTTTCTGCTCGGTTTTGGAGATAGGAATGGGCAGTCTTTGGGTGTCACATAGGGTGATTTTTTTTTTAAATGGTGTGGTAAGTGAACTAAATCCAGCAAAGACCGCTTTCCCTTGTGCGACACATCGATAAACTATTAATAATAACAAACAACGGCTACCTCGTATTGACTGTGTACTGTGTGCTGGGCACCGTGCTAAATAAATGCTTCATGGCCTAATCGTGTTTATCGCCTACAACAATCCTACGAAGTAGGTATTATCTTCATTTTACAGATGAGGACACCTGAGGCTCAGATTAAGAAACCTGCCTTAAAGTCTTATACTGGTAAGTAGAAGCACAAATTCTAGGCAAACCTGTGTCCACTCTCAAAAACTGGGTGCTATGATAGGACAATAAATGATAAAGCTGTCAGTATTTTAACACCTTCCTTGTGAAGGTTAAATAAGACAATCGATATGAAAGTGCCTTAAGTATTAATAAGTAAGGAAATGGTGGCTGTACTGAGGGATGAAGAAGAAAAAAGAAAAGAAAAAAATAGTAAGTAAGGAAATGGGAGAAGGGTAGCATGGTTTGCATTGTTGAGGTACACTGGAAAAGAAATGGATTTTAGCAACTTGAGGTCAAGAGGTAACATGGCACAGCAGTGTATTTGTCTTAAGTCTCTCTGGTACTTTTGTGTACTGCTTAAGTGGGTGGACTCTGGAACCAAACCGCCTGGGTTTGAATCCCAGCTCTGCTACTTACTTGCTGTGTGATCTTAGGTGAGTTGCTTTATCTGTCAGACCTTTATTAAAACAACTAACATTAGTACCGCATTGGGTTGTTGTACGGATGTACATGAGCCTATATATTAAAGGCATTTCAACAGTGTTTAGCATTTTAGTAAATGTTTGCTATTGTTTGAGTCAGTCATTAACATATCTTTTAATGGCTTCTTTAATGGGTGTTTAAAAAATCTTACTACAGTTAGTGCCATTAGGGGTTAGCATTCTTATTCAAGAGCCCCTTAAAATGATAAATCAGCCTGACAAATGATTTTAGCCAAATATGAGTAATGATTCCTGTTAGGTGAATAAGGATGTTGATTTATTTTACCATTTCATAAGAATAATATATGGACATGGAATAGTTTTACTGCTCTTTCTGATTATTATAGTTCAAAAAAAAAACAAACCCCAGGGCAATCTAGAATACATAAAGAAAGTAAGAACCATCTAAATTTCTACCTTCCAGAGATAATCACAAATTCTTTGTACTTTAAAAATATAACATACCTCCTGGGGGAAGAATCAGCTAGGTGAAGTCTGGATAAGTGGTACATTTGGGGAACTTATTTGCAAGATTGTACTAGAACTTCATGCATAGGTAAATAACACAACCTGGTTTCCTCACTGTAGATTTTTTGATCTAGTGTCCTTTTAGATATACTCTGTCAAAAGAATTCTAAGTGATGATGATGTTGATAAAGAATAACATTTATTGAGGACCTACTATGTCAGGCATTGTGCTAAACATGTACATGCATTTTCCCCATTGAATCCTCATATAACTCATGAAGTGGGTGCAATTATCTCCATTTTGCACAGGCTACAGTTTATGTGGAGGTCACTTTTAGAAGATTTAAGTCCCTTTTATTTAAAATTGTATTTAATAAGCCTAAAATACTTCATGAAAACTTCTTGATTTGCTAAAACAGAAGAAAACAAAATAAAGTAATGTACAGTAGTTCCTATGCCTGTACAAAAAGCCCAACTGGAAAAAAATGGTCTTTTGAAAACTAAGAATTTTATATTTGACCACAAGGGGGTGCAAATTCCTGAGTTAAATTTGAAAGAAAAAGAAAAAACTCTTTTACTTCAGACCATCCAATTCATGGGTGAAAAACTAGTAAGAAATCTTGCCCAGAACTTTAATATCCCACAGAGTGATGTACTTTATAAGAAGAAAGAACTAAATTATTTAGGTACTCAATTAGGGCAGAAGTTTTCAGCCTTCTTTCTTCTATGGGGTAAAAAGTTAATCATCCTTCCCCCACCCCTTTCTACCCAGCCAGTTTGTGTCTCTGCATACACCTCTTTTACTTCTCATAAGAGTAGAACTGAAGTCATAATTTAAAATGTGGGATTTTGCTTTTGGAAACCGGAATGCAATCACTAGCAAATGAATGGTAAATATGGGTAGTATGGAGAACCAAGGTTTTGTAATTTCAATGCTTTTTTCCCCTCTTGCTGTTGCTAATGAGTAAGCTACAACTGATGGAATGTTGGCTTCAACATATTAACTTATTCAGATAAAGCTGTGAAAGCTATAGGTCTGTTCATCTTTCAAGAAAGAATGCAGACTTTTAAAGAAGAAAACACTATGGATAGTAATTTGGAAACAGTATATACTAGTTAATGTTTTAAAAACAATTTACTTAGTAGGGGTTTCAAGTTCCTTTTATTTTCCTGTTGGTCTTGTTTCTCTGAAGTGGACTTACAACTTTTTTAAAAAACCTTTTTATTTGGAAATGATTTCATATTTACAAAAAGTTACAAAAATAAAAATGGTTCAAGGAACATCCATATCATTTCCTTGTTCTTGTGCAGGGGTGAGTTCTCTCTCTCTCTCCCCCTCCCCTTCTCTCCCTCTCCATATATATATACAGTCCTTATAAAAACACACAGGAACAACACTATAAGAAAAACCTTAAATTGATACCAAGGTTTTATGATTATAGTTAAACATATACACGATAAAAAGCTATTCTGAAATTCTGCATTGTTGACACTGCCAAACTATGCTTCTAAGGTAACATTGGTGTTCTTCAGACCATCATCATTGGATCTAGTCCAATGATTTCTAAACCTTTGTAAATCTGTTGAAAGCTACAGACCCTCCTTCTAGAATAATGCATATATGCAAATAGTTTGCATATAATTTCAGAGATGGATGATAGTCCATGGAGTTCCTGAAGAAAACTAAAGGAAAAATTATTTATACATATGGTAGGCAGAATAATGGCCTAACAAAGATGTCCATGTCCTATCTGTCTGGAATCTATGAATATATTATGTTACATGGTGAGAGGGAATTCAAATTGCGCATAGAAATTAAAGTTGCTACTCCTATGACCTAAGAATAGATTATCCTGGATTGATTATTTGAGGATGCTCAATGTAATTATAGAGTCTTTTTTAAGTGTGGAAAGGGGAAGCAGAAGAGTCACTGATGAGATGTGAGACTCAACCGGCCATTGCTGACTTTGAAGATAAAAGGAGACCATGAGCCAAAGATTCATAAGGTTCATGAGCTCTAGAAGCTGAAAAAGGGAAGAAAACAGACTCTCCTAGAGCCTCCAGAAAGGAACACAGTTCTGCCTACATCTTTTTTTTTTAATTTATTTAATGTTTTAGAGAAGTAGTCTTGCTGTGTCACCCAGGTTATAGTGCAGTGGTGTGATCATAGCTCACTGCAGCTTAGAACTCCTGGGCTCAAAGAATGCTCTGGCCTCAGTTTCTCTGACCAGGTAGCTGGGACTATAGACATGCACTACATGTCTACCCCACCTGCCTACATCTTGATTTTAGGCCACTGAGACCCATTTTGGATTCTGACCTCCAGAACTGTAAGAGAATAAATTTCTGTTGTTTCAAGCCACTAGGTTTATGGTAATTTGTTTATGGTAATTTTTTTAAGTGGTGATTTTATAGCGTTAGGAAGCCAATATGTAAATAGTCATTTCTGGGTGTTGATGATGTATGGCTATGGTAGTAATAAGTGTATGCTTTATATTTTTAATACCACCTAGGTGTTTTTCTGTACTTTTTTCATTTAAAAAATCCATAAAAAGTACTTTTTTTTCTTTCTTTAAAGGTATGTGAAGTGTCAGACCTCAAGATGTACAACTGTTTAATTAGGTATAGCATCTTGTCTACTACTGACATTATATACCTACACAAGATTTACTGAAATTTGTTGGTACAAATGTGATGAGCTTTTCCCACAAATTTACCCATTTACATTCCCTTTTTAAA